CAAGAACTGGACCTCTTGTAACCAGAAATCACACTTGGAGAATTTGGAATAAAACCTCTCCACCCTTAACACCCCAAGAATCTCCCGAAGATTCTCCTCATGTTGTTCCCTAGACTTTGAGTATACCAAAATATCATCAATGAAAATGCTCACTGATTGGTCCAACATGCGCCTACATACCCGATTCATGAGATCCATGAACGCAGTCGGTGCATTGGTGAGCCCGAAAGGCATCACCACGAACTCATAATTCCCATAACGAGTTTAAAAGGCCGTCTTCTGAATATCCTCCTCACAGTCCCTTATCTGATGATATCTAGATCTCAAATCGATCTTGGAAAACCAAGATGCCCCCTGAAACTGGTCGAATAGGTTGTCGATCCTCGACAACGGATAACAGCTCTTAACCGTCAACTTGTTCAACTCTCGGTAATTGATGCACATCTGGTGTGAACTATCATTCTTCTTGACAAAAAGAATCGGCGCTCCCTGAATCCTTTCCCCAACACTCCTGAAGTTGTGAGGATAGCTCCTGCATCTCGAGAAATGCAAGACGATATGGTGCCTTGGCGATAGGCGCCGCCCCCGGAATGAGATTGATCCGGAACTCCAGCTGCCTTTTAGCAGGCACACCCGGCAACTCCTCGGGGAAAACATCTGGGAAATCACATAACACTAGAACATTGGAAATATAAATTGACCCCTCTTTGACAACTCGAGTATCTACCACATAATACAGGAAGCACATACATCCATGCTAAAGACTTTGCCTTGCCCTGGTGGCGGATAAGAAAACTAATCCCGATCTTGTGCTCTCACCATAAATAGTAAGCACTCCCCCACTAGAGTCCTGAACCGTCACCATCCGTCGCTTGTAATCAATCAAAGCCCCAAATCGGCTCAACCAATCCATGCCCACTATAACACAGACATCCCTCGTCGCTATCGGCACCAGATCAATCGGAAACTCAACACCAAAAATCTCCAAAATGCATCCACGAAATACATAGGTAGCAAAAACCACATCTTCATTAGGTATGGAAACCCTCAATGGCCGATCCAAGGCCTCGCACCTGGTGCTAAAACAATGACTAAAGGACAAGGATACAAAGGATCGACTCTCACCTGAGTCAAATAACACTAATGAAGGCACATAATTCACAAGAAAAGTACCTAACAAGAAACATGATGTAAGCATAAACAATTCAAATCAATAATATAAATAAGGGATACATGCCAGCAATGACATCAGGTGCTACGCGGACCTCCTCTGCAGTCAGCTGAAAAGCTCTCCTACGAGCCCTCGGAGCCTCGGACTTCACTGACCGTCCATCAGAAATACGCAAAGTAGCACGGGCAGGGGTCTAGGCTGACCCCTTAGTGAGTTGTGGGCACTCAACCTTCCTGTGGCTAGTCTGGTTACAACGAAAGCAAACCGAAAATCCCTTGGGGCAATCCTTCGCCATGTGCCCCTCCTTGCCACATTTGAAACAAATCCATGATCGACAAGATCCCTCATGACTCTTACTGCACTTGCCACAAGTGCGGCCCTTCTGGCCTCCTGCTCTAGAATCAATGGGATTAGGCCGCTTAGCTACAGGCTGCGACTGCACTGACCTCCTGTCTCTCTCCTAAGAATCCTCTCCTCTCTCGTTTGGGTCTCCAGCTCTATCTCCCTCCTCCTGGCATTGGTCTTCAACTCATCCAATGTGCAATACGATGAGTTCGCCATGAACTCCCGAATATCACTCCTTAAAATGCTCAAGTATCGACTCACACGTGCCTACTCCATAGACACGTGCTCAGGGAAGAATAACGCCCTCTCATGAAACATCCTCGTGATCTCGGTCATCGTCTTTGTCTTCTGCTTGAGAGACAAAAATCCTTGGGCCAACCATTCCCTATCCACCTGGGGAACTAACTCATCTCGAAACAGCTAGGTGAACCTCTCCCAAATCACTGAAGCATGCTCTGCAGGAGAATAATCAGTCGTCACAAACTTCCACCAGTCCTTCACTCCCAAGCGAAGCTGGTTTAGTGTAAATCAAAACTTCAGGTTCTTAGGGCATGAACAAGTATTAAAACATCCCTCAACATCAGAGATCCATCTCATCGCAGTAATCGGGTCCTGGAAATATCTTATATACATGTTACGGCAAGGGTAAAATTATCAAATTATAGCATGTTACGGCAAGGGTAAAATTATCAAATTATAAAGATGGAAAAATTAAAAAAATGGAAAGAGTGACCTAAAAAAGTTTACAGAACATGTCTTGTTTCCTTTTGTATAAAATGCTATTAGTGAATTATTATTAAAGTAAAAGTCTATTACCTAATTTACCATAATCAGTTTTGTAAAAGTGAATTTGAAAATAATAAAAATGTAAACAATATAAATAAACTATCACAAATATGTACAAATGCACTAAAGGGTAAAATCATCAAATTACAAAACTGAAAACTATGGATTAGGTCAATGTGGTAAGACTCTTTTGAAAGTAACCATAAAAAATATCAATGTACTTCTAAAAAAAAGTATAAGCAAAACCATGAAATCCCAAAAAAAATCCATCCAAAGCCAAGATGTTATATTTGAAATAAAGCTACATATTTATTTAAAAAAAACAATTTATACATCATAAATATTGTTTTAAAAAAGATAAGTAAGATATTAAAATTAATGTATATTCAAAAAAAAAAAAAAAAAAAAAAAAAAAAACTACAATAAAAGGACATTACCATACAAAATAGTATAATAACAAAAGTACAATTTAATTATCAAAATGATATAATTTTTGTTATAAAAATGTTATAACAGAATATATATATATATATATATATATATATATATATATATATATATATATATATATATATATATATATATATATAAATAATTGAAAAAAACAAAGAAAAAATTAAAATTTGTTAGGCTTTGATTAAAGTCTATTTGTTATAAAACTGTTCCAAAACTAAAGGAAGAATTTCAGAATTTTTTTTTTTGCAATTTCTTAAACATTCTTTCATTACGGAAAAAATAATTTTGTTTGACTGTCACACAAACACATACAGTAACATAAACGCAATCACAAAAAGCATCCAAATCAACCATTAATAAGACAATAAGTTCAATATATTTCCCTTTTTGCCCTTTGAGTAAAGAAATGGAATAATAAAAAAATTTGTTGCACAAAACTTTGATGTATGCTATGTAATGGAGTTTTCTTAAAGTAAGATTTTCGACTGTAACACACACTCAAACATAGTTACCGTTTGTCATATACATGAATGTAAGATGCTATAAATGGAGTTTTCATTGTATTTTCAGAAAATAAAAAGCGACATACCGGATGGATTGAACAGGTGCAGACTGTAAAGAAAAAGACGCCAAAAGAAGATGAAATTTCAAGGAGAAAATAATTTTGTTTTGGGGTTCGGTTTTTATAACCGATAAATAAATGAAAATGATGTATATTTGGTATAAGATTAATATATTTAAAAATAAATGCAGATTTTAAGGGATATAGTAAATCAAAATAATTTAAATTTCATTGATATGATTTAGTCAAACGTAATATATATATATATATATATATATATATATATATATATATATATATATATATATATATATATATATATATTTGAATTTGAAGGAGATAAGCTGTAAAATTAATGAATTCGTATAAATACATTGTTGCATTCCTTTTATGTTGGATGTATATATTTGATATAAGATCAAATTTAAAATAGCAATTGCTGATTTTATGGTTTTGAGTGCAGATAATTTAGGATATAAGATAAAATCCTTCAAATAATCAAAACAGAAATGTTGATATTTAGGAGCTGATGGTCGAATGATGCAGTGAGTTTTTGGGCAGGAAAAGTAGGGACTAAATAGCTGGTGGAATGACATGTGGTAAGACATAGGACTTAAAAGATGACACGTGTCCGTTTTAACAATCTTTTATTAAGAATATATATATATATATATATATATATATATATATTATATATATATATATATATATATATATATATATATATATATATATATATATATATATATATATATATATAGGATTGGGTTTATATGAGACGGCCTAATTTTGTGATACCGTGAGATGCATTTTTTTATTTTTTTTAGTTAATTCAAGTTCCGAAAATAATATTTAAAAAAAGAACTTTTGGATTTTTCCATTTATTTTGCATTTTAAAATTATTTTTTAGAATATGTCAGTGTAATATTCTATTAGAATATTTCACGTATTTTTAAAAAAAAAATGGAATTTTTTTTATTTTTTTTAATTAATTCAAGTTCCGAAAATAATATTTAAAAAAAGAATTTTTAGATTTTTCCATTTATTCTGCATTTTAAAATTATTTTTTAGAATATGTCAGTGTAATATTCCAATTAGAATATTTGACTTATTTAAAAAAAAAAACAGAATTTTTAAATTTTTTTTTTAATTTTTTTTAGTTAATTCAAGTTCCGAAAATAATATTTAAAAAAAGAATTTTTGGATTTTTCCATTTATTTTGCATTTTAAAATTATTTTTAGATTTGGTCTCAGGGTCTTACAAAATTAAAATGGTTTCAAATGAACCTGAACATATATATATATATATATATATATATATATATATATATATATATATATATATATAAAATTTAAAAAACACTTCCAAACATATAAAATTTATAGTTTGTTCCCCAGTTATACCTATTTCAAACTTCTCAATTCTCATTTAATATAGATAACTAAAATGAAAAATAGAAGACAACCAAATGCTTCTTATATACACAAAAATTTCAGTTAAATAGCATAATGTAAAGAGTTGGAGAGTTTCAAATGAATATGGTTCACGATAGATGATGTACCACATTCACATTCATCTCAAGAGTTCTTTTATAAGAGATAGATATATAGATAGATATAGATATACAGATACCAATTATTATAGATACTAATGTATGTGGTTGCATATTACGTTTAACATAAATTTCATGTAGAAGGATACATTTTCCATCAACTCATGTTAAAGACTTTTTTTTTTCTCAACCAAACTGTGAAATGGGTAATCTCTAACTGACTATTAAACCGACTTTACTCATTTATCAAAACTAACCTTATTCTAGAAATAGCTTAGAGAACAAATGTCATCATCAAATCAAATCTATAACAAACTGATATGTGTATCAAAAAGAATTTTTGTACAAAAAGAAGAATAATTCCAGTTTCAGTTTCAGTTCCAGATATGAAATTATGAATTATTTCCATGCTTTCTGACCACGAAACTGTTTGCCAGCTGTCTTGGCCTTGAGCTTTTTCTGACGGCGAGATCTTTCCACCTTTGATCTCTTGGCAGCCAAAGGCATTGCCTTCTTGTGTTCCTTTTGCCGATTGCTTAATCCACCACTCTGTATAATTATAAATAACTAAAAATAAGTAATATTACAATAAATGCTTATTTATGCCTTTTATCGGTTTATAGTTATACAACAATGTTTCACCTTTCTCTTTCAAAAAAAAAAAAAAAAAAAAACAGACCTTTTTCTGCTTGATAGCAGCTCTTGCTTGATACTTTTCCCCATCTTCTCTTCCTGCTTTGATCAAAGCCTTCCTTTCCTCCTTTGTCATTTTTTTTCTTATGTTAGCCTATAAATATATTAAATAATCAGTCCATTTCATAAACTCCTTTTATAATTATTAAATGTTCCTTTTATGATTAAATAAATAGATTTTTGAGACTTACTTCAAGTGAAAATCCATCAACTCTTTTCAAACTGAGTTGATGAGAAGTTGGGACCTTAAAGCCTGTTGTTGATTTCAGATCTGAAGATTTTTTCAACATTCCATGATTCGCCAATGCAACCTTTGCTTCCTTCTTTGCCTGTTTCACAATAAATAAATAAAAAATATATAATTATAAGTAGCAGATTAATAATAATATTTGTGGTGTAAAAATGGTGACTTACTTTTAACTCTTTGATTCTCTGAAAATCTTTATTTGAGAGAATACCATCTGTTGTTGTTGCCTCACCCTCCAATTTAGCTTCTGCTAGTCTCTTAAGAGCCCTAAGACTTTGATTTGCCACATCAACTTCTCCATCAACATCTTCAAATTTCCTTTTTTGCCCTTTCCTTTTCTCAGATCCCCTTGAATCAATAGACATCCCATCCACCTCCTCCTCCTCCTCCTCATCAGACAATTCATCCTCTTCACTTCCCCTTTCTTCATCATCATCATCATCATCTTCTTCTTCTTCTTCTTCTTCTTCTTCTTCTTCTTCAGATTCCGAACCTCCATGAATGCTGATGTCAGCATCAATAGATTCACCATCCTCATCAGAAGCATTGCTGACATCATCATCCAGAAGCAACTCAGCCCCAGGGACATCACTGGGAACAGTAACCTCACCGAATGCTTTTGGATTTGCTTTTGGATCTGTAGGCCGACCACGATCCTTCTTTATGAGAAGCGAAGGACAAATCTACAGAAGAAGAAAAAGACGAGTTTACCCTTCTAACCTAAAACAGAAATAAATTTGGAGAGAGAGACAGAATGATTCACAGTACCTCTCTGAACAATGAAATAAGCGAACGAGCTGCTGATGAAACTGCCTTCTCGTGTGATTTCTTATACAGCACAAGATCTTGCAGCAAATCCTCTGTCATTAACTGAAGAACAAAAAACATAAGTAAAAAGGGTAATAATAAAAGTTTTTTCTTCTTTTATTCTTTCAACAAGAAAAAAAAAAGTTCATTCCATAAAAAGCTTACCAGAGGAATACGCAAACATATTTCACGCACAACATTCAATCCAACAGCAATTGACTGAAAAGTGCAGATGAAACACAAATTTTGTGTAAAAATTCACTTAAAAAGAGTAAGTAATAATATAACAAAAAAATATCCAATGAAAGACACCTACCTCTGTAGGTGACTTATCATGCACAAATTGATTAACTATCTGCTTGAATAATGGTTCAACTGCATCAGGTGGCATCTGCTCCACATAACTTTATCAATTTTTTTTGTATATAATATAATGGTAGCAAAAAAACACGTTCATTTAAATGATTCCAATGAAAAAAAATAAAAGGTTAAATTACATATTACATACCATATCATGACAGGCTTGAACAGCTGCTGCTAACAAGTTTGTCACATCGCTTTGGTGGGGCTGAAAATTTCACAACAAAGATGAATTAAATAACAATTAGAAAGTACAAAACTTGTGAATATGAACAAGAACTAGAAACTAGAAAGTATAATTAATGCATTAATTACAATACCTGAACAAACTTTTGAAGAAAAGGATAAAAGTTCAATACAAGCAATTGATGAAGTCCAATAGTACGTGCAACCACTTTCACCATCATCATTTTTATCTGAAACATTATAGGGGTGTATAAGAATACATAACATTGAACATGTTAATGGGAGGTTGTCAAAATGAGACACAAAGGGGTATATTAGTAATTACCTCAAAACGTTCACCACAAGTTTGAAGTTGTGAGAACAGCTTCTCAGCAAACCCCTGAGCATCTTTCAAAGCATTGAGTGGTGAATAGTAGTTCAAGTTATCATTCCTTTCAGATGAGATACGTTGTTGCTTTTTCATGCTAAGTATCCCACGTTGCAACTTTGCTTTCTTTTTCTTTTTGCTGGATGTTGTCCCTGTATTCTTGGCCTATTTTGATGAACATTTATAAGAACACTGAAGAAGAAATCAATTCTCTTGAAAGAAAGCAACTAACCTTGTAAATAGCTTCTTTACTCACGACAACATGAGATTGATGGATTGCTTCTTCTTCATCACTTGACTCATCACTGTCATCGTCTTGCTCAATTTTTTCATAACCAAGAAGAAATGACAAAGCTGCAATCATAATCCTGGTGGAAGAACAAAAAATCTTGATTTGTTACATGAAACAGGATACATATTACATAATATAAGAATATTTTGATTTGATGAACCTTGATGATGAGTGGAAACATGCCTGACATATAGCATTGGCTGTTCTATCATCAAACCAGACCTTCCTCCTGTGAAGATCACATACTGTGACAAGTGACCTCATTGCTTTCTTTTCATCCTCTTCCTGAAGCAACAGAAAAAGGATATTATATATAGTTGGATACTGAATAATTTTGACAAAGAGGTTGGAAAGGTAAAAGTATACCTGTAGCATTGAGAATAAAATACTTTGAAGTGCTCTGTTTTCTGTTTCGTTATTGTGTTTCTGATTCATACGCCTGATACTATGAATGACATGAGAGGATGCCAATTCTTTTAGAGGTTTGTCACTCAAAATCTGAAGCTCCATGAACAATGCAAGAGTCTCCTTGATAGCAAGGATCTGTTAATACAAAGGATCCGAGTCAAACCCCCAAAGTGCTTGAACGAGAAAAAGTTACACCAAATTTATTGTAAAATTATCAGTTCTACCCAGAAAAGGCAATTCCAATTTCTGCTATGAAGTCAATCCTATTGCTGTTGAGATCTAAAATCAACCTCAATACTGTTTGGGGGCGTTTGGGATTGATTATTTACCTCAATACGCACTTTTCAAACTCAATCCCAAATTAATTTTTTAGCACATCGTGTTTTGTATGAAATTTAACGTACTTTATCAGTTATTTCTCGAGCATTAATAGATTTTGAAGTTGCAAATTGGTCGATTCCCGATTGATAGTACAGTTGTTTTATTGGCAAACAGAAAACTACTAATCTACGGGTGCGGTGTGTGTACACATAGTCAAATGATCCTATTCCAACTTAGATGATACCTTGCGATTAAGAAGAAGAATCATTTTCTTAATTCCTAACTTTACTCTTGATTAGTATCCAATTCAAGGCCTTCAACATTTGAAACCCCTACAAACCATGAGCCAGACTATGATAATATAAACTGCAGTTGGCAACACCGATGCTATCAAGATCTTGGTGAATAAAAACCATAAGCTTTTGTATGATGAATAGCAAGGAAGGTAGATGCCTTTGAAAGTGGATGTTACCTTAATTTCTTTGATAACTTAATCTATAATTGTGAAATGTTGAATTGTTATTTATTTATTGTTAGTGTGAAATGTTGAATTGTTATAATTTTATATTTATTAATGTTATATTCTTAGGATTAATGTTGTATTTATTAATTTTTTTAATAAATTTTTTAATAATTAATGGTCCCCGACTAATTCCCTCTTAGCCGATTAATCCCTTGACCCTAGTCCATCGTCGAACGATTTTTGCAATCTTGTTTAAGCATAAAATGAAAAAGGATAAAGATAAGAGACTAATTTTGAACTTATCATCTTATGATGAGTTAAGTAGAAGCTAATAGAATCCAGAGGTTAAAGTGTAATTATCTTGTAATTTGAATTATGGACAGTTATCCCAAGGGATAAGACTTATCTAGCAAGATAAAAGTCATAATTAACCTAATAGTCGAACACACCCTTGCTCTCGACTTTATTTCTTCTTAATAACTCTCTCTGGTCTCCATCTTAGTCTCTCCCAGCCTTACGACTTTGTCCCTCCTATTTATAGGGTAAAGGGTTTGGCTAACAAGAAAATCAAGGCTTGTTGTTTTGGATTGGATCACCTCTTTGGGGTGAGACTACATCACATGGGTGCTACTTTGGACCCTTGATTCATCCAAGATAGCAGAGAAAATCCAAAAAGAAATGTATTCTATTAATTATGTGAAACTCCCCTTGTTATAGTAAAAACACACAATCCCAAAGTTTTAAGATAAGTTTTAATAACACTTTTAAAATACTTTTATGCGAAATTAGGTCTCAAAAGTACCAAAAGTACAATGTTTTGTTCAAAAGAGCGAGGTAACAATCAACTCAATAACATTACAAAATTTAAATGTGTAACACCTCAAATTTTAAACCATTTTTTTTTTTCTAATTTACCAAATAAAGTTGCACAAACCAAGTCATCAAAAACATAAGTGTCATAAACAAACATCATCAAAAAATATCAGAGGATCTCAAACTGTCCCATAATAAATCTCCCAATGAGTGTGTATAATCAGACCTTCGCCTTCCTGCGGTCTTTAGAAGTACCCGAAACACATAAATAAACAACTGTAAACACGAAGCTTAGCGAGTTCCCCAAAATACCACCTACTACACATCATAAAATAAATAAATATGGGTTATCAGCAACCTTGGGTACTATCAACAGTCCTAGTGGGCAACAACACACCCTATGAGTTATCAGCAACCATGGAGATTATCCATAGTCTCAGTCACACATACACAAAATAATGTAAGATATCATGTAACAGCCAGGTTTCCAGGTATATATTATTTTATTTAATTATTTTGAATTATGGGAAGGAACTCGGCGAGTTGATGCGTAGACTCACCGAGTAGGGTCGCGATTGTTCATCCAACTTTGCTTTGGACTCGGCGAGTCCATGAGTGGACTCGACGAGTCCATGCTGTTTAATGAAACCCTAAATCCCTGGGTTTGGAGCCTATATAAGGGTACTGATAGCGTCTCTTTGCGGCTTCCAGTCCCTTGAGAGAACCCTAAGAGAGCCAAATCGTTGTAAGGAAGAAGAATACACGTTTGATCCTTGTATCTTTGGTTTAGCAGGAAGGAAGTGCAAGAGCAAGAGGGGAGGTGCGATTCTAGCAGTTCCAAGGATTCAGAGACTTCATTTTGAGGTAATAGTTCGAACCTCCTTCAGTTTTGGTGTTGATCTATAGAGTTAGGGTTTTCTAACCCCTTTGGAAAGTGATTATGTGGAGCAAATGGTCCCTCTTCGAGTGTGTGCCTTGGATCTGGACTCAAGAGGTCCAGAGACCTTAACCCTTGGAGCTTTATGGATTAGTTTGGGGTTATTGGACTTAGGTTGCCATTTTTGGGACTAAATCTCCTTTTGATGCCTTGTTGTTGTTATACAAGCATCAAGTTTGGAGCTTTACGTGACATTCATGCTTAGGAAGGCCATATCTTTGATTTAGAGAAACCGATCTGACCTCAGGAGGCCAGTAGAGTTTATGCATGGCATGAACTCGCCGAGTAGGGTTAGGGTTTCACGTAAATTGCTCAGTAATCAGACTTGCTGAGTTGGGGGATGACTCAGTGAGTCAGAAGGGAGTTAGAGGACTGGATTTCAAGGCGGCACTCGTCGAGTTGTTCTTGAGACTCGGCGAGTTGAGTTGTGGTAGCCCCGCGATTCATGCCTAGTATGACTTATCAAGCATAGGGAGGGACTCGGCGTACCAAGCGGGACAAAATGTTAAAGGATATGTGTGAACTCGCCGAGTCTTCAAAGTGCACTCGGCGAGTAGGGTCAAAGTGTGACCGTTGACTTTTAGGGTTTGGTCAATGGAGTACTTGTGTTGAGAGGAGGGTAAAATAGCCTTTTTCCCTTCTAAGAGTGACAAAGGTGTAACGCCCGGGTTTCAGGGCTAAGCATTTTTGTCAATGTAATAGTCTAGGTCAACTCTTGTAACTCTTTTTGAAGTAATAAAGATGAAATATTGAGTATTATGTGAATTATGTGTGTTTATGTGTTTATTATTTAATTATAAATGTATAATTAATAAAGAATAAAAATGAGCATCAAAATTAAAGTGTGAGATAATCCCGATATCTCTACATAAAGTTGTAGAATATGTCTCAAGGTTTCCGTACATATAAAGAATGCCGAAATCCGAGCTATAACGAAGAAGTTATGGCCCGCCGAAGTTTTACGGCAAAACCGGCACGGCACCGGGAGGCGTAAATAGTGAATTTACGATGGAAGACTTTTTAGCCTTAGCAATCTAAACAAAAGTCATAGAATATGTTAAACCAAGAACATCGATAAAAAGAACACCCAAATCTGACTTCGTATGAAGAAGTTATGATTTTTCTAAGATTCGGCTTAGTAGTGCACGGCCCGAAACTCGAATTTTAGTTCGAGCGGTTTTTGGCTTACGCGACCTAAATGAGAGTTTAAGATCTCATTAATAGGAACTCAACGGTAAAAAGACAGACGAAAACGGAGTCCGTATGAAGGAGTTATGAACTCTTCGCGGTCATTTAACAGTCTAAACGCCTCCTACTGTTAACTTTGAGATCGGTCGAGAACTAGCTGACGGAGTCTAAACGAAAGTTGTAGATCTTGATTTTACCTACGCTTGGATATAAAGAACATCGAAAACGGAGCTCGTATGCGAAAGTTATGATTTTTCTAAGTTTGAAGGCTGACACGCGATAGGGGGTGACGTGGCACCACCAGAATTGGACACGTGACACCACCAGAAGGCCACCACATGGACCAAATCGGCGAGTCATGACTCAGACTCAGCGAGTCCACCATTCAGGCCTCCTATAAATAGAGGTGTCGGGCATTCACTTCTCCTCACCCCTCAACCCTCTTCTTTCTCTCTCTACACTCTCTCTCTCTAAGCTCCCTAACCCCCCTAAAAGCCTAGGTAAACCCCCTAGCACCTGAAGGAAGCACGGAGGCTCCCGGAGTCCCGAGAAAAGAGCCTTTCGGCTCGGGAACGCTGCTCCAACGAAGCCCGGTTTTCGAGAAAAACCCGCTGTAAGTGAGTTGTACCTATCTTATCTTTAGTTTACCTTATGTTCCTAATATAGGAATGTTATTAGGTCCTTAAAATAATTATTTGGGCTATTATTATGAGTTATATTGAGTGTTATTAACGCTTATATAATAATAATAATAGTCAGACAATTAATCTGTCGCGGTTATCATTAGACTAATCCCTAGTGGTATCAATACTAGGTTTTATCAAAGGAAAATCGTTGTGAGAGTATCGAAGCGCTGTCCGAGTGCTGAGTCACCACCTAATCAAGTGAGTGCATAGTTACTTTCAACTTACACATAGATATGAAGTATTTTATATAAATTACGTGCTATGTGTGCATATTATCTGAATACTTGCTATCTATGCTAGATGAACGTTGTTATACATGTTTTCAATGATTTAAACTGTATATGTATTTTATATCTACGAAAATGTTGGGGTAAAACATGGGTAGATGTAATAGGTGATGTGTGATAAAATGATGAGAGGCCTCGATGTTGTTGTTGTTGATCCAGTCATCTAGCGGAGTATAGATGACGACCACGGACTCTTCTAGACAGTCCAGTGGAACACTAGCAGGCTCGCAACCTGTAGGTGTTGTGAACGATGTGTTCACCGGTGTACTCCATCCCCCACATGGTTGCCTATTAGGACATTTATTGCTGAGGAATCCCCTTAGCAGTAGTGTCCGTCCCGATGATGATCCTTAGGCTAGGTCCCTTATGATAGGTGTTTAGGGACGTAAAGTGAGGATAACGAGAACGAGTAATCGGGTTATTGTTGATTGATGAAATTAATAAAATTATTTATTGTGGGTTGAAAACCCTATGTGCTCACCAGGCTCCCAAGCCTGACCCACTCAGTTTTATGTATTACAGGTAGTGGCGCATGAGCATATGTGTGATGTTTTGGATGAGGGATTACGGATATAGGCCTGTAGATATGAAATAATGTAGTAAGGCTTATATTGTACTGTTTATACTTTTGATCTGTACGAACATGACATCCCGAGTCTTTTAATGAAATACATTTCTATGGAAATGCTTTTGATAAATCTTTATCATAATATTGTTTTGGGACAAATTCCGCAACCCATTTATTAAAAGATAACTTTGATTTTGAAATAAAGTATAAACAAACCGGTCTTCTCTGGCCGTGATTTTGGGGATGTCACAGTTGGTATCAGAGCATTAGTTTAAGCGAACTAGCAATTTGTAGGATTTCTAGACTTAAACTTAGAATGCTAAGCGATGATTGTGAGGTGTGAGCACTAGCTTATTTTAGGAATTGTGCCTAAAATGCTTGTATGTGCTAAATGCTTTATGCATGATATGCTGTTATTTTGTTCAGATCTATGGTCTGTTGCCAACCGGATCTGGAAACCTTATGTGTTTAGGATTCTAAACGTACGACTACGATATTAGAACTAGCATGTAAACATTTCAGAGTGATAAGGACGATTTAAAACGTCTCTCCTAAATAAAGATCTAAATTCACCTTATTCGGTGTATAGATCGAGATGGCAAGGACCCGTAGCGGAAACGCGAACGCAAATGGAGGTAGGAACCAACCCCCAGTGATCGAGCAAATACCAGTTGTGGAAGCTGCTGCCGGACCAATAACGATGGCCAGAGTGCAAGCGATGATCCAGGCAATGTTGGATCGTCAAATGGAGGAAAGCAGGCGTTTGCTCCAGCAAAATTGAGAGGAAGCGACTATTCAGATCGAACAGTCCGAGTTGAACGAAGGGCAGACTGAAGAAGGAAACTACAGTGGGACTATTGGTCATGCCAACCCACCGATAGTTAGGCAAAACCACTAAGATGGAGGAAATGATGGATGTGGATGAAAATACAAGGATTTCATGGCATCCAAGCCACCGAGTCTATCTGGAAGCCCGACGCCGGTGGAAGTCATGAACTGGATCTCTGAGATGGAGCAAGCAAAATGTCATGGGAGGATTTTCTGGTACAGTTGAAGATGCAATACTGCTCTGAGCAGGATCTTCTGGAGATCAACAACGAATTCCAGAATCTGAAGAAGGGAAGAATGAGCGTTACTGAATACGCTGCAAGCTTTACTGAGAAAATGAAGCTTGTTCCTCACCTCGTCCCAACTGAACTCTCCAAGGTTAACAAATTTGCCCTCGGATTACCACCGGACTTCGGTCCAATGGTCAAGCAAACTACCACTCTGAAAGCCGCCATCTGGGCTGCTAAGAATGTGGAGACCCAGATACGAGAGAAGGGTCTGGAGAGAGTGGAAGTGGGAGAGAAAAGGAAATTTGACGGATCCTCGAGGTCCGGTAAGAAAGGTAGATTCTCGAAGTCTGGTTCGAGAGGAGGGGGATCAGAAGCAAAGTGGTGTGACAAGTGCAAGAAGAAGCACTTTGGGAAGTGTGATGGAGGAGTCACTTGTTACAAATGCGGAAAGCCTGGGCACTATGCCAATGAATGCACCCTCAACCAAAAGGCCTGTTATGGGTGTAATGAAGAAGGGCACATTTTGAAGGACTGCCCGAAGAAGAAGGAGGCAGGAAGACCCAACATACCACCAAAGCCGAAGGCAAGAGCCTTCCAAATGACGCTCGAGGCTGCAAAGGAGGCAACCGACGTCGCTTCAGGTACCTTTCTTGTAAATGGTTTGCCTGCAAATATACTGTTTGATTCCGGAGCCAACTACTCCTTTGTGTCGCATAAATTTAGTGCGAAATTAGCATTACCTATAGAAAAACTTGATAATACCTTGATTGTAGAAGTTGCCAGTGGCAAATTCGTACCTGTTGGTAATCGTTTTAGGAACATCGTCATTGACCTAAACGGAAACGAATTCCATGAGGAACTATTACCCATAGAGTTAAACGGTTTCGACATCGTTTTGGGTATGGATTGGCTTAGCGCCAACGATGCCGAGATATTATGCCGAAAAAAGATAGTTAGGATAAACCCACCCGGAAAGGAATCATTTATGGTGTACGGGGACAAACGCAGAGTGAATTCTGGAATCATCTCCCTGATGAAAGCCAGGAAATGTTTGTCCAAGGGATGTGCATTATACTTGGCATTCGTAATCGATGCTAAGAAAGAAAAGAAAGAGGTGCAGAATATACCGGTTGTGTGCGATTATCCAGAAGTCTTTTCCCGA